TTCGTGTAGGGCTTACTTCTATTGCTTTTGTTCACCCAGAAACAGCCAAACAATATTCATTCAACATGCTTCAATCTGTTTTGATAGTACCCAGAGTATCCAAAGAGAACGTTAATGTTTCCAGAACCAATACAAAAGCCAAAAGTGGTTCAGCTACGAATGAAGTTGAGAATGGATATATCGACAAGACAGAATATCGACAAACAATTGTTCAGCTGTTGATTTCAGAATCTGTGGCTAAAGGACATGTTATGGTAGCCAAGTCTCTTCGCCTTTATTTGGGAGCTAGCCTACATTCATGTATGTCAAGTTGTCCTAATATCCATTTTAACTGATGCATTCTATTTTGGAATCAATTGTATGTATATTCTCATAAATTTAATGGTGTAGAATAATGCACCCAACAAGTTGTTATTAAATGTATTTGATGATGTGTTTATGTTATGTGTATCTGTAGTTAGGAGACAAGCAGTCTCTAATTGCATTGTGTCGAGCTGTCTGTCATGCATGACAATTAGGGAATAAGCTGTTTGTTATTTTGAAAAATCAGTGGGTTTGCCCTGGTATGTAAACTTAAAATATGGCATTTGGAGAAAGTTAGAGTGAATTGTTTATGAAACTTTGCTACTTTTTGTTGGAGGATTTGTTAGTTTTGACAAGAGTATAATTCTAGGTTTTTCAATGAAAGATATTAACCTTACTGTCTATTAGGGTATAGGATTTTACTGTATCAGTTTTTGTATTGTTTTTCTTTTCTGATTTTGGTTATAACTGAAGTAACATCTGTCACTTTCAGTTAGTTAGCTAATGGTGTACTCTTGTAATTTGTTAGCTTGCTCTGTACACTAGCTGGTCAGTTAGCTTCTCTTGTACTCTTCAGCATATATATATATATATATATATATATAGTTTCTTTCATCTTTGTAAACATAACAAATGATGGTCCAATTGCCTAATCTTATATCAAATCATCTGCTTAGCCAGGTAAGCATTGTAAAAAATGCAAGTGTTATACTTCAGACAAATGCGTCTAATGGTACCACTTATTACACATTGCCATGGAAATTTAGGACCTAAGGCACACTTATTACCAAAGGGGTTAACAATCTATTCCAGAATGAGAAGGCAGATGAACAATGCAAGAAAATGTTAGAAACTGATTCAAACAAGCTTCACACAGGGCACAAACATAATTTCTTTTCGTTCGTGCATTTTCTTTTTCCTTTTGGGTTTGCCATGTTCTTTTTACTAAGTTAGATTGAAAAGTTTTCTATTGCTTCTATAGCTTCTTTGTTGCCTTCATATAGGCGGACTTTTGCTATTTTCTTTAGATGTTTAAAGTATATTTCAGTTGAGAATTTATCTGTCTTTCAATTTTGTATCTGCTTTTAACAATAATATTGCTTTGTGATTGCATAGGGGTTTATTTGAAGTCATGTGATATCATTATGGATAAAAGTATTCCTTCTACCTTTCTTTTTCCTTGCCAATTCAAACTGTCAAGGCAGGAGAATGATGTTGAGAAAGATGGTCTAGAAGTTTTTCATGGTCACAAGAATCACATTGATGAAAAATTGCATGCAAAAGCTACTTCAGGTGTCTCTGGGGATGCTATAGATTGGTCAATCCAAAATGAAGTAGTAGCAGCTCTCTCTGATGAATCCAATTACAAAGGTGAGGAAGAGGCTACAAATCTGTCTCAGAATCGAAAGGGATTACAGAGTCTTGTACGATTATGGTATATCACACAACTTAAAGCAATTACTTCCATTACGGGTATGGAGGTTAGTTCATTGGTTATGGGAAACAATACCTTGCTTCACTTTGAATTAAGCTGTTACAAGCTTAGGAGTAATGGGAAGGTTCAGCTAGCCTATAATTCTTCAGTGAACAGTGGCAAGGCGCCTGAAATGTTGTTTCTATTGACCTTTGGTGAAGAATATCTGCATCATGGGAAACTTAATGCATATGAAGTTGCTCTAGGTGGAAGAGTCAATAACATCAATATTTTGGACCTGAAGCTTTTTGAAAGGATAAAATTATGTGATCCTTTGTCTATTCATTGTATAGAAGAGAGAGCCTCTCAAGACCACATTAGTTCAAATGTATCTTCCCTTGGCTGGATGGAGAAAACAGCTGATGATGTTATCAATAGTAAGTGTTCATTTCTTGGGGGCTGAAGTGTTCATTTCTTTTTTAATTTGTTTGTTGTTCCCATGGTCATTTTTTTTGCCAAATAAAAACTTTGATCCTTTATTTTTATTTGTTCTGTCTTGTTAATAGATGTACAAGCCAAGTAGGAAAAATGTCTAAATAATATGTATGTAAATATAACTCATGGCAATAAGGATTTGAAAATTGTTTGTACACAAAGATTAAATATGACCATAACCTGTGTGGTTTTTTGGGCATAATTTCATATTATTTGGGAGTTAGAAGTTAGGAAGGACATTGGAGGAAGTTGTTGAGAGAGATCTCTTGGTGAATAATATCCTAGAGAATTTGATTTTTAACTGAGCCCAATGTTTCCGTACCATCCAGGTAGCCAACCTCTAGCTAGTGGGAAAGAACTTCGTTGTTGGGAGTTGAAGTTAGGACTTTTCTAGTCAGAGATATTAATGTGTTATCTAAGTCGTGAAAGGAGAGAGGAAAAGAAGAGGCATATTCACTAAAGGGATAACAATGACACCTAAATCTGTATTATATTGATATTGTTATTCATTGAGGCATTTTTTTTAATGCATCCTGAAACATCTGTTCTTACTGTTAATCTTTTCTAATTCCTGCACATTTTCCCTCAAACTGGAGTATGTTTAATTAGCTGCAATCATGTTGCAAATGAAGGGTGGGTGGGTTAGAAAGATAGATAAGGTGTGGGTGGCACACCTTCTTTTATTTTAATGCTAGGATTGTATAATAATTATATGTAGGGTGTGTTGCAACTTGCAAATAACACTTCTTGATTTCTGAATTTCATAATTTCTTACAACCACTTTCTAGTAGGTGCTTGATAATGATGTGGGATCTTCCTTCGTCATGAGACTGCAAATATTGTCTTCTCCTTAACTGTTAGAGAATGAGAAATGCATATTATTCTTACAAAGAAGTTGATTCTGTTCTCTCTGTTTTATCTAGTGAACTTATTTTTGTTACTTAAGATTCCCTATTTTTGTCCAGTTATTTTGTGCTGTTGGTATGGATGACCCATTCAAAAATTTTGCTAGAATTTAGTTTGACGTATGCAGGATTCATCTGTTTTCCTCCTTGATGCTGCTGCTCATTAATTTGAATTCTAGCCACCTAAATAAAAGTTGTATTCTTTTGCATTGGGATGCTCTTTGGTGATATTGAACTTGCTGTTTTTGCTAACTGCAGGGATGTTGATATTGTTATGTTCTGCATCTGGTTTGTGGTTTGGCTCACACAACTTACCACTCCCTGGACACGTTCTGATATATGGACCTCCTGTGAGTACAACTTAGACTTTATCAAGTTTAATTCACAATGAATGTGGCTATTAGTAAACTAGAGATTCTCATTGCTGGATGGTTTAAATGGAGCAAAGGTCTCTAGGTAATCAATTGATTCAATTCCATGGGTTTGTGCATACTGTTTTGCTATCAACCATGCCTTGTATTGTTAGGTTGACCTGTCTGCTTAGTACTTCATTGTATGCACCCAAGTTCTGTCATTTTCCTATGTCTCCATTTCAACATTCATAGCTCGCTCTCCTTTTTCATTGGACAATCTCAGATAAGGTGGTAGGGATAGTAATGATATTTAGGTTGACTAAAAGGGCCCTATGTGACAGTGAGAGTGTGGCAATAAAAGTGGAGAGATCCAACCAAAGAGTATGTGTCTGTGTGGATGGATGCATGTGGAGTGTAGGCTGTTTGGCTTGAAACTGCCTGGGATTGGCTCAAGCAAAGTGGACAATTCAGATTTGGGAGTCAATGGTCAAAAAAAGATGTTTGCTGGAGATGTTGACAGAAGGATGTCATGTCATGGCATAGAAAGAAAAGAAACAAAAGTGAAGACTTGGTTTACTATAAGGATTAAATATGTTTTTTAGCCCCTGAACTTTTGTCAATATTTGTTTTTAGCCCTTGAACAAATTTTATTTGGTTTTAGTTCCTAAAACTTTTCTCCATGAATAACAAATTTAAACATTGAGGACCAAAATGTTAACATGAGAAAAAGTTCAAGGACTAAAAGTGAAATTTGGAAAAATTTCAGAGACTAAAATTAGTAAAAAAATTGTTTAGGGACTAAAGTAAAAACAAAAATGGACAAAAGTTTAGAGACTAAACATATTTAATCCTCACTAGAAAAATTTACTGGTGGTACACATGGAAGAGGGTTGCCTTGTGTTAGGCTATATAGATTATGTTAAGAGAAGAGATTTATGAAGTGTGGACTCTGATATCTTCAGTAATGGCTTTGCGCTTGTCCTCGCCAAACTTCCTCCTCTTTTGAATGACGGGCTTTGCACGTGGATCGATGGCTAGTTTGTGGCACATGAAATCGGGGTCCACTCCTGGCATATCTTTAACGTGCCACGCGAACGCTCACATGTTCGCTTTCAACACTTCAATCAATTTCTCGGCGTCCTCCTGGCTGAGGGACGTACCGACCTTCACTTTCTTTCCTTCCGCCAACGTCACCTCCTTAATGTCCTCCGGAAGAGCGGCAATGCCTTGTCGGCCGACTTGGACAGAAAACGGGATAATGAAGCCATCCTTCCCGTGAGTTGTTGCACCTCCTTCACCGTGGAAGGACTCCTCATGTTGATTATCGCCGAGCACTTCTCAGGATTCGCCTCGATGCCGCGATGAGTTAACAGGAAACCAAGGAATTTTCCCGCTTGAACTCCAAAAGAACATTTCTCGGGGTTCAGCTTGAGCTGGTATTTTCCTATAGTTTCAAACAGTTCCTTCAAATCGTCTAAATGTCGATCCAGACTCATCGATTTTACCACCATGTCGTCGACATAGGCTTCCACATTTCGGCCCAGCTGGTCCATCAACACCTTGTCCATCAAACGCTGATACGTTGCACCTGCATTTTTCAAACCAAAAGGCATTACCTTGTAGCAGTAGTTGGCCTGGTCGGCAATGAATGCGGTTTTGTCCTTGTCAGCTGGGTGCATTCGGATCTGATTGTAACCAGAATACGCGTCCATGAAGCTTAGCAACTCATACCCCGACGCGCCATCGACGAGGCAGTCTATATTCGGTAGGGGGTATGAATCCTTCGGGCACGCCTTATTTAGATCAGTGAAATCTGTGCATATTCTCCATTTTTCGCTGCTTTTTCGTACCATCACAACATTTGCAAGCCAGGCCGGGTATTGTATTTCTCGTACGAATCCTGCCATTAGTAACTTGTCAGTCTCTTCAGTAATGGCTTTGCGCTTGTCCTCGCCAAACTTCCTCCTCTTTTGAATGACGGGCTTTGCACGTGGATCGATGGCTAGTTTGTGGCACATGAAATCGGGGTCCACTCCTGGCATATCTTTGACGTGCCACGCGAACGCTGAAATGTTCGCTTTCAATACTTCAATCAATTTCTCGGCGTCCTCCTGGCTGAGGGACGTACCGACCTTCACTTTCTTTCCTTTCGCCAACGTCACCTCCTTAATGTCCTCCGCAGGAGCTGGTCGGCGATCAAAATGGCTCACCCTAGGGTCTAAATCGATGGAGTGGACCTCCTGCTCCACCTGCGCCGTATATAGTCGTCTTCGCGCCTTCAAACTGTCACCATAGCATTTCCGAGCAACCTCCTGGTCCACTCGGAGAGTTCCCACAGTACCGTTCGGTAACGGATACTTCACCTTCAGATGGGAAGTGGACACCACCGCTCCTAGAGGGATAGGCATAGAGAGAGAACTCCTCCCAAAGACGCGCCAGCAAAGGTGTCGGAAGCCCATCAACAACCCATTCATGGGGATTTCAACACCGTCGCAGGGGACTTCGCGGGCGGGGGGGCTACCTCTGCTGCCCGAAAAAGATACACTCGGTCGGTACTTACAGTATCGGAATTCAGGCGACCTACTCAACCTGAGATTTCATTCTCGGACTCAGACTACGAAGGAGTAGCCCCCCATGGGGACGACCCCGTTGTCATATCAGCAATCGTCATGGGGTACAATGTGAAGCGTGTACTGATCGACCAAGGAAGTTCCGCTGACATTTTATTCTGGGAAACTTTTGAGGGCATGAAGATACCTAACGATCGACTAATTCCTTATGCAGGAACTCTAGTGGGTTTTGCAGGAGACCAGGTCATCGCAAGGGGATATGTCGACCTGGAAACGACTTTCGGCCAGGGTGCTCAGATGAAGACGGTGGTTGTTCGGTATTTGGTAGTCAACGCGCAGTCATCCTATAGTATACTGATCGGCAGGCCGACCCTGAACAAGCTAGGAGCGGTGGTGTCCACTTCCCATCTGAAGGTGAAGTATTCTTTACCGAACAGTACTGTGGGAACTCTCCGAGTGGACCAGGAGGTTGCTCGGAAATGCTATGGTGACAGTTTGAAGGCGCGAAGACGACTATATACGGCGCAGGTGGAGCAGGAGGTCCACTCCATCGATTTAGACCCCAGGGTGAGCCATTTTGATCGCCGACCAGCTCCTGTGGAGGACATTAAGGAGGTGACGTTGGCGGAAGGAAAGAAAGTGAAGGTCGGTACGTCCCTCAGCCAGGAGGACGCCGAGAAATTGATTGAAGTGTTGAAAACGAACATGTCAGCGTTCGCGTGGCACGTCAAAGATATGCCAGGAGTGGACCCCGATTTCATGTGCCACAAACTAGCCATCGATCCACGTACAAA